TGTAATGACAAGAATTGTATGATTTATTGAATGTTAAGCTGATGATCTGCCAAAATGGTTACCAACTCCACCTCTACTGAAGGGGCTAGAATACACCGTCAATTTAAAGAGTGACGAAAGAACCCACTGCCACTAGTCACCCAATTCTGACTCAAGGTGCCCTGTGGGACTGAGCAGAACCACTCCGGGGTACCTGAGACTGCACATCTTCATGAGAGCAGACTGCCTCATCTATCTCCCAAAGAGCACCCTTGAGGTTACCAGCCCAACACTTAACCGACTTCACCACCAAACCATGTTGAAAGATGTTTTCCACAGCACAGAGGAAAACAGAAGAAGCAGTAACTTTCAGACTGTGGATGCATTATTTTAATTTAAAATTACTATTCCCTTCCTCCCTCCAAGCTTTGGTGACCACTGCTTTGCTCTCTGCATTCGCCTATTCTAGATATTCATACACATGGGATCAAACAGCAAGTGGCGGACTTACTGTACTCAGCATACTGTTAAGGCTCGTCCAAGTCATAGCATGTGTCAGAACTTCATGTCTCTTTATGGATGTATGTGTTCTGTGTAGCCATTTATCTGTTGGACACTTGGGTTGTTTCCACCTTTTGGCTATTGTACCTAATGCTGCAATGAACACTGGTATATAAATGTCTGAGTTTCTGCTTTGGGGGCATAAACCTAGGAGGAGACCTGTTGTTGTCATATGGTAATTCTATGTTTAACTTTTAGAGGAACCATCAAAACTGTTTACCCTAAAGGTAATCCACTAGCAATAGATGAGGGTGCCAGTTTCTCCACATCCTCAGTAATATTTAGTTTCCATATTTTTAATGCTAGTCATCTTAGTGGGTGTGAACCAGCATGTCATTATGGTTTTGATTTATATTTCTAGTGATTGATGATATTTAGAAGGAGCTCTGGTAGCGCAGTGGTTACGAATTGGGCTGCTAACCTCAAGGTCAGCAGTTCGAAACTACCAGCTCTTCTGTGGGACAAAGATGAGGCTTTCTGCTCCCATAAAGATTTACAGCCTCGGAAACCCTGTTCAGGGTCGTTATGAATTGGAACCAACTCCACGGCACATAACAAGAGCAACAACGATATTTAGCACCTTTTCATGTCTTTATTGGCCATTTACAAATCTGTTTTGGAAACAAGCTTTGAGTTGTGTTTATTGGGTTGTAGGAGAGTTCTTTACACTCGTGATAAGAAGCCCTCATCAGATACATGGTTTCCAAATATCTTCTCTTAGTCTATAGGTTGTCTTTTCACTTTTTTGATAAAGTCTGTTGATGTACAAAAGTTTATCATTTTGATGAAGTCCAATTCATCTATTTTTTCTCTTTTTATTATATTTTTGATGCTCTTTATTCTCATTGAAGTAGTCTCTGACTGGTCAGTTTTTGTTGGCCTATCCTAGTTGTAACCCTCCTGTATAAAATTTAAAGAATATAAATAAAACAAAAGTCCTCTTTGCCAAATATTCTCCCCAATCCAGTTCCTTGTCTATAAGTAACCACTGCTATTAATCTGATGATAATTCTTCCTAAAAGGCCTAATTATAGGCAGTTACATAAATATATGCTGGAATGACACAGTTTAATGATGAAAAACACAAATGGTCCCATGTACTGTCCATAATTTAACTACAACTGGCTTGTCCCACTCAGCATTTTGTCATGGAAACCTTCTTATGGCAGCACAACTGTGATAATCTCATTCTTTTTAACAGTTGCTTAGTATATCCACTGTACAAATCTACTTTATTTAACCAATCTCCGATTGATAAACCTTTTGAGTTGTTTTCAATTTTCTGCTCTTACAAACAGTACTTGTACATATACCTCTGTGTAAAGATGTGTATGATTATTCTCTAGGAGAAATTCAGAAAACAGAAAGTACTGGTTCAAGCGTTTATGCAGTTCAT